CCCTGCCTCCCTGCCCCTGCAAACCACCGACCTTCATTCTGTCTGTCGCTCTGGTTCCACCTATTCTGGACATTTCATATGCATAGAATCATACAACATGTGACTTGTGCCTGGCTTCTTTCACTTAGCATGCTCTCGAGGTTCACCCAAACTATAGCATGCATCAGTACCCCACTCCTTCACATGGCTGAAAAACAAAAGCTATGCCAGCTTTTGTTTATTCATTCAGTGGTCGACGGACATTTGGTTTGTTGCCAGAGAATATCTTTTTACTTTGACTTTTTTCTACTTTATTTTTTTTAACTCTGTAAGTGTATTGCCTCTTCAAACATTTTAAAAATTAAATTTCTATTAAACAATGAATGTGGACCACCAAGAAGACAGGGTGAGGACACAGGGGGGATTCATTTAAAAAGTTAGGAACTTTGCCAAAAAACAAACAAACAGTGAGAAAGCATTTAAAAATATAAAAGGAAAAATGGATAATAAATTATAATTACTTGTATTTGGGGTATGTGGTTATACCATCCATTTTTTACTCCTTTTAAGTAAGAAAGCAGCCCTTGAGAACCTATTTGGGGTAAAATGTTGGAGAGTGGACAGTGAGTCTGGGCTGGGTTGGGAGATGGGGCTGGACTCTGAGAGTTTCCACCCCAGGCTAAAGCCATAGCAGGGTGTGATGACATTTACTGCTGTCACAGACTGACCAAGTTCCCTGTCTCCTCGACTAAGGGGAGGGGTAGGCTTCTACTTCCTGTGCCCACCCAGAGCACTCAAAACCCAGGGAGCACTGGGCAGCTGCAGAAGTGGATGGTTTCTGAAGGATGAAGAGCAGCCCATCTTGGGACCCCAGGGAGAATTAGGAGCATTTTCCAGGGAGGTGGCTTATGGGCAGGGCAGCGAGTAGCATCCCATTCCCTGTTTTGTGCACTGGGCCTCTGGCTAATAAGTATTTTGAAGAGCCAAATCTGATGCTTTAAGACAAAAGGTCTGTAAATACTAGTTTCGGAACAAGTACTCTGGGCATGGAGTCACAAAACAGTTTTAGTTGTAGCTCTGACCCTGGTGAGTTACTTGCCCATTTTCCAGATGGAAATAATTCTTGTTCCTCCCTGTATCTTGGAATATTAGATGGGCCAGAGATAATTAGGGCTTTGAGCTCTCCTGAAGAAAGATGCCTAGAAACACAAGGGAATATTATGATCCCTGTGACCTGGGTGGGTGGAGTGGAGACTAAGAAAAGTCAGTATATATCATTGAGCTCAGAAAAGTAATCTCATCTTCTAGATTTTATCTAGAGGGAGGGCAAATATGTATAGTGTACTGTCTGTCTATAGTCTACCTATAGTCTATTGTCTCATTTGATCCTTGCCTCGAATCTGCAGGGGTAGGGTTATCCCCTTTCTGAAGATGGAGAAACTGAGGCTCAAAGATCAGTAAGTAACTTTTTAAAATAAGAAGTGGAGCCAGGTATCCAGCCAATGAACAGTCCTGCTCTTCTCTGAGATTCATCCAAACATAACATGTTTGGTCACCTGGGCTTGGTCAGCTAGGCTTGGTGCCTAATCAGAATTAGAGTTCCCCTGTGTCACTGTCTCATTCACCTGCCCCTTCAACAGCATCTCCTATGTGCAATGTGGTGCTGAGTGCTGCAGATAAAGCTGGAATGTGGAGCAAGGCTCGCAGGGAGCTGCTGGGCCTCCTCAGGTCCCTCCTGTAACAGGCTACGGCCGAGGCGGCTGGCTCCCTACAGTGTCCATTCTCCCATGCTCCCTTACTAACAGGGCCTTGGGGAATGTGCTCAGCTGAAAAACTATCTTTCCGAACCATGGCGCAGATAGGGATGATCAACGAAAACCCATCTCAGTTCCTCCTCCAGAATGAGGGTGTGATGGCTGGTACTCCAAAGACCACATTGGACCATGAAGTGACCCTGAGCCTCCTTGAGTAAAGTGGCCACTTTACTAAAGGTGGTGGAGCAAAAAAGATGGAAGTGGGCTAGGTCCCATGGAACCAGTACACCAGCTCTGGCCAACCTACACCCAGGCCTCTTTCATGCAAGAGAAAAATCATCTCTGTCTAAATCACCCTGGTTATTTCTGGTCTCTGTTACTAACCAATACACATGGGTTGTTCCTTTGACTTGGCTGATATACCCTAAGTAGCAAAGGCTGCCAGGCTCTGAGTAGATCTGCATTCATATGAAGGGGCACACAGGCAGCCAGAGCCCAGAAAACCAACAGGCAGCTTGGTGTGCAGGGCAAGAAGGCCGTCCAAACCTCACCGCAGAGTCAAAGAACAAGTCCTTCTGCCTCGATGCCAACAAGGGGTCTGAATGAGTGCTCAGAGCACCATGTATAGGGAGGGGGAAGGGGTATGGCTAAGGGGTCGACTGTGTCCACCCAGTACTGTGGTCCCTCCAGCCAATGAATCTATTGTAGGGTCTCTTATCCCAAAGTGTGCCTCAAAATCCTGGGACAAGTTCTGCTTACTCACCTCCACCTGTGTGGCCTTCACACTCTAGCCACTACTCAACTCTCCAACCCCATTCCTTACCTCCCTCCACTCTCCTCAAAGTCTGTGTCCTTAGATATACCTGAATGTCCCCCACCCATGCACATTCTCACCACCTGGTTCTCACATATAATGTTCCGTCTGCCTTAAACACTCCTCTCCCCACCTCCTGGCCAGACTGAGTCCCCTACATCCTTTGGTTCAGCTCTCAACTTACTCATCACTTCCCTGACTCCTGGGCCAGGCTCCACCAGGGCCTTGCACAGTGCCCTGGGCTTCTCCTTCCACTTGGTGTGAGAATGTCCATCTCCTCCACTAGTGTGTGCATCCCTCAGAGCAGGGGCTTTTCAGAACTGCACTGGAAGGCTCTCTGCCCCAAGGAGACTGCCCTGTGGCCCTCCGTACACAGCACAGTTCCCAACACACAGCAGGTTCTTAACATTAACAGTGGAAACAGGTCTCAGAACCTAAATCCAACCAGCAACGGGCTTTATTAAACCCTACTTTCCTCTGTCCTTCATGACAAGTGTTCCTCCCAATAATTGGTGGCTTTCTGCTCTAAAAATCATGACACTCTTCCCTGCAAATGGATCAGTCACACGTGCTTTTCCTGGTTATACTCACTTTCTCATCTTGGGGGACAGGTAAGGGCCTCCTTCTGGCCTCTCCCTCCTTCCCAGGATCTGGGAAAGTGCTCCACTTTAGGGAGGACTGGAAGTTAATCAATCAGCTTGGCCACGTTTGCAGCTCTGGTAAGAGTAAAATGCGTGCAGGTTGAAATCGCTACCATGAGGTTTGGACAACACTCAGTATTCTTTTGTCTATGCCTCTCTGCCCTTTAAACTGACAGAGGACCAGCATGACTGCCCCCAAGTGATCATGGAGGTCAAGCAAGACTAGGATGGGTTGCTGCCGGCATAGATCCAACGCTGGCTCCTCGGACAGCAGGAAAGATGCCTCAGCCCCAGGCAGCGGCCAGGTTGTCAGTGCTGCCCTCCCCCAAGACTGGTCAGATTCTGGCGAACATTTACTCAGATCAGAAGGCACTGGAGACCCATGGGTGCCTCAGCTGCTTTAATTTTCAACTGTGGTTGTGGGAACTGAACTTTGGAGGAGGAAAGTTCAGCAAAATTTTAATTACAGGCTACCTCTCCTGCTTTTAATGGCTAGGCACTACTTTAATCACATGGTGTTAAATCAAATCACTTTTTAAGTATACTAGTGAGGTTGGGTATTTAAGGGAAATCTGGTATGAAATCTTTTATAAAGCAAGTTCATTGAACTTTTTGGAAGTTCAGGGTTTTTTGTTTGTTTGTTTTTGAAGTTCATATTTAAGTGAATGTAATTCAGGTTTGCTGGCTGCACTATATCAACATCATTCAGTCGGCTTTGTTTGCCTTGCCACGTTTCTCAGTATCTCAGGGGGAGGGGCCCACCTCCCCCATGTCGAGTCTATGAGGAATTTTATAGCCCTCCCCTTTTCCTCCAGGAAAGTGCCTTTCTACTCAAACTGTGCATACTCGGGAGATTCTTTAAGAATGTGTTAGGGGTTCATTGTGTACCCTCTTCCCAACTCATATGCTGAGGTCCTAACTCCCAGTACCTCAGAATGTGACTGCATTTCCAGACTGTCCCTTTAAAGAGGTGATTAAGGAAAAATGAGGTCACTAGGGTGGGCCCTAATCCAATGTGACTGGTCCCTTATAAGAAGAGGCAATTAGGACACAGATACACAGAGAAAAGTCCGTGGGAGGACAGAGGGAGAAGACGGCCATCTGTAAGGACAGAGGCCTGAGGAGAAACCAAACCTGCGGACACCTTACCTGCCGACACCTAGTCTCCAGATTCGTGAGAAAATGGATCTTTGCTGTTTATGTCCCCCAGTCTTTGGCACTTTGTCATGGCAGCCTGAGCAGACTAATACAGAGGAGAGCCAGTCAGTGTTCTGATGAGCTGTGTGACCTGCTGCCAGGGCTCTAGCTCTTGCTCAGAGTCCCATCAGCTTTCTTCCTCAGTGGGTGGTCTAAGGATTAAATGCAAACGATGGGCAGTAAGTTTGTGGGCTTGCATGCACCCCCCCCCCATTCTCTTTTGTGTGGACAATGTCATTTACCCACAAGGAAAGAAGATTTCTCTCTCACTCTCGCTGCCTCCTGCGTATAGGAAGCCAAAGTGAGAAGGGGATCCTGACACCAACAGCCTGGATTTTTTTCTTGAATTAACACTTTACCTTTTTTTTCTTTAAAGCGTTTTCACATACATTCTTAAAGTTAAGACTCACAACAAATCTGTGAAATAGCCAGTATTAGAAATCTTATTTTCATTTTATGAGCAGGTAAAGTGAGGCTCAGAAAGAGTGAGTGATTTATTTGTGACCCCATGACTTGTTGGCCAGGACCCAGGTTCTCTGAGTTCACATTCGTCGTCTCCTGGCTCCCTCCCACTGTCACTGACACCCCAAACACTCAGAAACACCACCATAACCAGGCTACTCCTCTGCTGCAAAGCTTTCAATGCTCCCAGGTGGGGACCACATCAAGCCCCCACGGGCCTGCATTTCCCTCTGCCCTACACACTTCTTGCCCCACATCTCCAATTCCATTGTAACAGACCAGTCACACGGCCCAATGAACACAAGCCATGCTCATATGTTACCACCTCACTGAGACCACCTCCCCACTTCTTTCTGACTAGCCTAGGAGCCACCTCCTCCAGGAAGTCTTCTCTGACTGCTCTGAGTTCTTTCCATAGTATTCTCAGGCCCAGTCACATGAGGTGACTCTAAACAGACTTGCCCTTATTTTGTTTGCAAATAGCTTAACCATGTTAGTCCCCAGGACAGGGAGCACATCTTCCCACTAGCCCCCTGTCCCAAAGTACAGAGAAAATACTCAATAATACTTGTTCTGTCAGAAAACCAGCCATGGATAAGTGACCTCCACCTTGTAAACATGTTCAGAAATAGCTATTTACAAGTTCACTCTGCAAACAGAATCTGATTCTTCTCTGACTTGTGCCATGTTGCAAGAGTGCTGGATGTCCACCCTAGCTGACTGGCCTCAGGTGACACTGTTTCTGCTTCTCTCTGTCCCTGGACATCCCAACTACTCCCACCATCTCTGCCTCTCCTCACCAGGCTCATGATCCTGAAACCAAGGCCTGTGTGAACTCCAGGAGTCACTATTTAAAGAGCCATGGGTCTTTCTTTGAGCCCTTCCTCTTATTATAAGACTAGCCATCCAGGACAAGAATTTTTGTCTGTTTTTTCACTTGGTATATTCCCAGCTCCTAGAAAAAGTTTGGTACAAAGTAGCTGCTCAAAAATATCCGTTGAATAATTCTGTTGACTAAATGAGACCATTCACTTTCAGCCAGGCCTTGAGTTAGGTGGGCCCCTGGCAATGGGGTACTGTAAGCCAAACAGGAGCACCCAGGAAGCCTGTCCTGTAGGCATAATTCCAGTGTTATTTATCCCTTCAAAAGTCCCTCTATTGTCATCTACCCAGAGCTATCCCCAAAGGAGTGTCCTCAGTCTTTCCAAAGCTATCATTTCCTTCTGAAGAGACAAAGAACCGGAACTCTGACTTCAAAGGGAAATGCCTTTCAAAGAGGTGCTCAGAGGAAGAGGCTGGCTCCAGAAGCCTCAGCTCTGTCCCAGCTGTCACCTCCAAAACTGAGCAGTGGAATGGGGTGCTGTCCACACAGCACTGGGAAGGAGGTTCCTGTTGCCTTGTGGCTGGACGACCACTCCTCTGACCCCAACCCTTATGAGGGCAAATCCCCACATACAAGGAGCCCACCTTGGCCATGACAACATCAACTCCTCCTTCTCTAAGTGCCTGTCTGCCTCGAGGTGCTGGCCAGTCACACAGCTAGTTTGGGGTGTTACCTCCTCTCTTTCCTTACCAGCTTTGGGGAAGCTGACTAGGTGCCACTCATTGAGAGGGACACAAAAATGACCACTCGGGAGCAGGAATTCTGCCAAAAGCAGACAGGGGGCATCCCTAGCCACTGATTGGTCTAGCACAGCGGAAAGGAGGGAGTACATTCTAGGAAATACCTAACATGTCCCAGATGCGGGCAGCACACCTGAAGGGTATAATGCAGGAGGCTCCTGGATAAGCCAGAAATGCAGATGCTAGAGGTTCCAAAATCCCTGCCCTGTGCCAGAATCAGAGGTGGGAACTTTTTCCCTGCCCAGGTAATAACCCGAGCCCCCCAGTCTCAGATCATACCCTTCCTATATTACTATGTGTCTAAGTCCAAGTCCATACAAGATATGGCACCTGTGACCAACCTCCCAGCCTTTCTCTCCCCTTGCTCACTCCCCTCCAGCCCCTGTGACCTCCTGCTGCTTCTCAAACAGACCATACTCCCCACCCCTCTCACAAACCCCCCACTTTTCTGCAGGACTCTGCTAACCACTCCAGATTCACCAGCCTCCAGCCTCTCCAGCCCTTGGCACTTCATAGCATCACTCCTGTGCTTGCCTGTGGTGGGAAAGCTCCAAGAGGCTCTGTCCCACTCACAGCTGCACACCCAGTAGCTAGAATGGGGCTTGGCATATTGTAGTATATACTGGCTGGATGAATGAATGAACTCCCCGTTCCTTTACACACCACACACTTCCCCTGCTCACTGTTTTATTCCTCTGTGTGTGTGTGTGTGTGTGTGTGTGTGTATACTTGGTGATGCTGAGAGGGGTGTAAGTGAGGCAGAGCTGGGAGCCAGAACGTAGCCTTGGTCTGTGAAATGGGCTGGCAACACTGGCTGTGAGTTAAAAAGCCCACAGAGCACACCAAGATCCCAGCTCTGTAAGCGGCCTCATGCCCACCCTTGACCTCCTGGTCAACCTGCCCTGGCAAGGAAAGGGCATGACTTCAGGAAGCTGGATTGGATCAGGAGACGCACAATGCAGGACAGCCACAAAGTCACATACGTGGCCCCAACCTTCTCACTATGTATGACGCTTATCTGGGCACAGGTTTTATCTGCATTTCTGGGTGGTGTGCCTGAGCCACACGATCCATCTGTCCCCCCATAGTGTCCAGCACATAATGGGAGGGACCATCTACTAAGACCCCTCCTAAGAGCTCACATGTACTGTCCCCAGGCACTGTCCTAACCACATGTAATAGCTCACTTCAGTTTCACAGTGGCCCTATGACCTAGGCACTATTATCATCCCCATTTTACAGAACTAAAGCACAAGGCACATCCCTGGTGTCTATGAGGGTGAGGAAGAGATGATATGGCCTCTGGTCCCAGTATCAGCTGTGAAGTCCTGGTGAGACTTACTCTCCTGGAATATCTTTGTGAAGCAGCCATAATACCAATACCTGCTTACCCCACACATGAGGCATGAGAGCATGTGGCTAATTCATACGATATGACACACATGAGTGGCAGCTGGTGTTATTTAAGGATACAATAATCCTGGCAATTTCTCAGCTGTTTCCTTGCATAGAAGGGAAGGAAGAGGGCTGGACAGCCAGGAAACACCAACTAAAACTAGATACTCTGGTGAGAAGTGTTGCTAAGGGAGGCAGTGATGCACCAGAGCTGCGAGCTTAGCATTTATGGAAAACAGTGGCGATGTTGGTAATAAACAGAACTTGAAACAAATAAAAATCAAGCTAGTTATATATAACTATTTAACATAACTGCAAATCAACCAATTGCTATAAAAGGAGGAAAGGGAGGCAACATGCAAAAATTAATATAGTATTCCAGTGAAGCAGATTGATAGCTGAGTCTTTCCTTCAGATATGTTTTAATGCAATAGTGGCACCATATTTTCAATAACATTTTTTAAGTGGTTAAAAACATGAGTGCACACACTTCAATGAGAACCAAGCTTTGATTTTCCAAAGCATCCTCCCAAAATGAAACAGCTTCATTTTATTCAAGTACCTGCTGTTTGTAATATAGTATTAAATGAATGAGGTCAAATATTCTAGGGCAAGTTAGGGGGGCGCCAGGCTTTGGGGACCTCCATTGAGGCTTGGAGAGGGGGCTGTCTATAGCACATGGAGCTGCCCCAGGAACTGGCCTATACCCACCCCCCACTCCAGCAGGGCCTCCATCCCCACATGGACAGTCTCATCCCCAGGCCCAAAAGGCCCCTGCTTACATTCCTGGTGGCAGGCAAAGCATTTGGCAAAAGAAGGGATACCTCCCACTCCCACAAAAGCCCATTTCGCTTGGGGACCTTCTGGCCTCTGGAATACCTGATGATCAACTCTGGTGACGCTTAAAACAGGCAGGACTGCAGGGAGAGTGGACCACAGGAGGGAGCCCAGCAGAAAGCTGGCTCCTGAGAACAAGGAAGACCCCAATTTGGATAAAGCAAAGGAGAAGTAAGACTTGTCTGAAAGCAGCCAAAAAGAAATGGAAGTCTTTAGAAGCCTTCCCTCCAATTGAAAATCTCCTGAATTCCTGGTTGTCAATAAGATTCTTTCACTGTTTTAGGAGGGGGAGCAGTGTGCTGCTGGCTAGGAGAATGGGGTAGGGCCCAGGACCCAGGCAGGAGAGAGTGCCTAAAAAGAGCCCACCCTGGGGGTGGAGGGGTCCCAAGCCCCACTGAGGCAGGCCAGGACACAAACCTAGGAGAAAGGCAGAGACAACACAAACCTCTGAAGAGGAGACCCTTCTGTACCTACAGGGCAGAGGACCATGGGCCAGAAGGGGAGGGAGGTCTCTTAGGAACCAGGAATCCTCTTAAATCACTAACTTGAATAGGTACCATGGTGGACAGGAGCCAAAACACCCAAGAATAAACTCTCCCCCAAGGTCCCAGTCACCTTCAAAGCACCACCAAGATCAAGGTCAGCTTTCCACTGGCAGTAAAAGTGAGTCACCCTCCCTTCTCCTACTCCTAGGAGCTGTTCAGCCCCAAGGGGAGGGGAAGGCTGTAGCTCATCCCCTATAACTACCCCCTTTGAGAAAGGATGACTCAGTTAAGACAGCTAATCTGCATACAGGGAAGACCCCAAGGGCCCCTCTTTGTAGCCCCAGGCTCCCACCTCCTCAACAAATGCTGCCTAA